TTGATATTATTGTCACTTGCTTTAGGAAAGTGTATGAATTGTTATTTCCTTCGAGGAAATTAATAGAACATACATAGAAAGCATTCAACAAGATTTATTTCCTTCCGCCTTAAAATGATACTTTACTAAAGTTATTCAAGATGTTTCTATGTACGATAGGTACATATTGCAATGACTTTCATACCACAAAAATAACATGTATATCCTTTGTTATTTTATCTCTTAAAGAGACAAGTTGTGGTATTTCTTTCATTCATTTTGGGGAATGAAACCAGATTATTTGAATGTGCTTGAAATACAACATTCATCAATAGCTCATTATTTTTCTCAAGCACAATATGACATTGCTTCAGAATATTTCTCAGACATTTTTCAAATTATTTTTGCTTCAAGAGAATTTTGAAGTTTTACTATTTGAAGAATGTAAGCTCAAAATTTTACCACTTCCAGAGTAAATTTTGATGTTCTACTACTCTGGGAGTAAAGTTCAAAGTTCTACTACTTCAGGAGTTAGTTGCAAAGTATTTACTACTTTAGGGAGTGAATTTTAGGTTTATGCCACGTCCCAAACTACCCGCTAGGCATGATTGACACCAGCACACACCATCGTCCAGGTGAATCCAATTTCCATACTTTAACCATTAATGCACAACATTTGACGAATGAAATAAGTATTCAAACAATATGATAAATAATTATGAACACTTGGTATTCTAAAATATTAATCTAACACTCTTGCCCAAATCCCACACTAGACCATGGAGCATCAAAAGGATTCCGAAAGGACTCAGAATAAATGTTAATAACTCTTATGAAAGCCTCCACGAACAATGCAACAGTTCACCTCAACAATTGGAATAACTCTAGTGAACTCCTCAACTACTAGCTTCGTCATCACCAATAGTATCTGCATGGACATCCATGTAAGGAGTGGGTTATGCATAAATATAACCCACTAAAATCCTCGGTCTTCCCCTTTAAATACCCTTGCAATAAGTGTTAGAAAATACAAACACACTACTAGCACATATGTAAATTTGCACAGGAATTATATCAACAATTTTCAAACAATTGTTTATCAAGAATACTATATATCTCAACATAAATTGCACTAAGAACTTGTCATAAAAGGCAGGTAAATCAATTAGTCGACACCATGAGTCCACGACAACATACACAATGCACCAAATATATTGAGAAGCATACGCAATGCCTAGCACCCAAAATTTTGAAAATCAAACACCCAAAGCCTTAAGGAATTTATTTTCGTATCATTTTTTTTTGGATAGCAAGAAATTTGTTCAGTGTTTATCTTTAAGGAAGAAAAAGAATAAGCAAAGAAATTATCTAGACGGGAGGAAAAAACATAGGTGTAACAAATTTTTTATGGTGTTAAAGGATATAGTAAGAGAGTAAAAACTCTAAAATTGTGAAATAGCCTTACATGCTTGTTGAATATGAAGCATTGTTGGCGGTTAAGGTCGGGTGATGGCTAGAGGTTAGATTATTTAGAAGGGTATTTTTAGTAATTTAACTCTTAAGTTGGGATTCCTGCTTTTAATTTAATATAAACAAATATAGATTAAAAAGATGGACATATTAGTATATATATCCATTCTTAGACAAGTATATTTAGATGACAAATAGAATGTATATATACATGAAATAATATCTACCATGTAATATAATGTTGTAAGAAATCAACTTCTTATTTTGTGCTATATTGCTATCCTCAATTTTGTTTTATTTGTAGCACCTTTATATTCTTCAGCTCAGATGGGAAATGCAAATGGAGTTGATTGGCTGGAAGAGGTTTACCAAAAGGTATAGTTTGCAATGGCACTTTTATTTGCTCAATAGTTTGAAACTAAGTATATCACAGACAACTCACTGGAAACTGAATTTTTTGCATTGAGTAGTGATGTGGAATTTCTGTTGTTATAACAAGTCGGTTTATCAAATTTCAATTTCCACCAAGTCGTCTGTGATATCCTTAGTTTTCAAAATCTCGAGCATATAAAAATACCATTGCAAACTATACCTTTTGGTAAACCTCTTCCTGCCAATCAAGTCCATGTGCATTTCTCATATGAGCTGAAGAATATGAAGGTGCTACAAATAAAACAAAATTGACGATAGCACAAAATAAAGAAGTAGATTGCTTGCAACATTAAAATATCGAGCAAATTTTGGGGTAGTGGTAGATATTTTTTCAAGTATATAGCTACATTCTAGTTGTCTTCTAAATGTACTTGTCTAAGAATGGGTTTATATACTAATATGTCCATTTTTTTAATATATATGTATTTAAACTAAAAGAAGGAATCACAAGTTTAATTACTAAAATACCCTTCTGAATCATCTAACCTCAAGCCAACACCCCTTCCTTAACAATCAACAATGCTCCGTATTCAACAAGCATGCAAGGCTACTTCAGAGTTTTAGAGTTATTAGATTGTTACATGTTTAGATCCTTAAGCACCATACAAATTTTGATGCACCTATTTTTTTTCCTCCCGTCAAGATAATTTTATTTAGTTTCTTAATGATAAACAACATATTTCTTGCTATCCCAACAAAGAATGATATGAAAACTTAATGTCATGGCTGTCATCTATCTACAAATAATTGCATGATTAACTTGGTTGCCCTACTGTGAAAAGTTTAACGACAACATAAACTTTTCAGCAATCAAAAAAAGGTGGTAAAGAACTAAAACGTTTGGTTAAGTAATATAATAAATCTAGCTTTCAGATGGTTGTCCTCTTCAACATTACAAGTAATCAGTTTACTTAACCATCCAATTCAATATTTTAGTTATTTTTCAAGCCAAAACAGTTTCTCCTTGTGAGTACCTCATGCTCGTTAAACCACAAGAGAAGTAGAATGCATCCCAACTTAACAAGCATGAGATTAAACTTGCTCACAAGGAAAAATTGTTTTTGCTTGAGAAGCACATAAGTGTCTTTCTTAGTGGAAAATGACAGCATAGGCTTACTTCTCCATTGCATGAGCAACTTTCATGCATACTGCAAGTCAGGTAGGCAGTATACACTTGTTTTGATAGTTCAATTGTTTTTCTGCTTGTGCTAAAATACATCTACATTTCCATTAATTGTTTGTACCGAACCTTGTCATGCAGCATTCTGAAATTAAGGAGAGTGTTTTTTTCGTGGGGGGTGGGGCGTTCATAACTTTGAACTTGTGATAATCAGCATAAATCGCTTAAGTGATGTATGATTTCTCTTGTTTCTTTTTCTTTATTCTAAGATCTCATGTGTTCAAATAAGATGGTATAAAGATTGAAGATTAGAGTAGAAGGTTAGTAAGCAGTTGATTATTGTCGTATTATTCGAATATTGTCTTGTTTCCTTTTTCTCTGATGTATTAGTATATGCTGCTACATGTTTTGTGTATATTGCTATTTCTTTTCTCTTTTTTCTTACTTTCCTGCATCGGTTCTATTTTTTTTTTGAGCTGAGGGGTCTATCATAAACTTCTCTACCACACAAAGATAGAGATAAGGTCTGCGTATATTCTACCCTCCCATACCCACTTGTGGGATAACATGGGGTTTATTGTTGTAGATCTCTTTGGTTTTGTTCTAAGATTTTCTCAATGTAAAGTTAATGATCTCTTGCTATTTTACTCTTTAGTTACAAATTATGTCTTGCACGTAATATCCTATGCAGGCACCAAATACACATGCACGCCAATTGCTTACCATGGATCCAGTGGGTAATGTATGGAATGGTTTTGGTAGTGATAGTTAAGGTTCTAATTTTGATGGATTGAAATCTGGTACTAAACATGATGAATGTTTAGCGTATGCAAGATCGGATTTACATGGAAGAGGTACGGGCTCACATGAACCCCTCGCTGTATTATGTAAGTACTCAAGCACTCCTCCCAAGACTATGTAAAGTACACATGAACCCGTGCAACCCTCCTTAGATCATGTAAAGTACTGGTGAACCCATGCACTCCTCCCTAGATTATGTGAAGTACTACAATTATTTTGATAAATTACTTCAATTTTATGGGGGAACTCGGCTAAAATTTGAAATATTATCACCAAAAAGTTTATGTTTGAATCTTTAGCAACATTTTTACAAACAATGGTCACACTTCTCTCAATATTTATATGGTTTTTTTTGTCTTTCTTCAATTCTTTTCTTTGATTTGTAAAGTGCGTTTCCCTAAATAATGAACTATGTTAATCAATTTCAAATATCAAAATTTGTTATACTATTTTTCTGTGATGATAATATAAATTATAGTTTACTTGTCAATTCGTTGTCTTGGTAAAATATTATTGCATTAAACCTAACGATAATATTTTCCGGATAGAAGGTGGCAACCTTAATTAATTGACTATGAAGGTGCCTCTTAGCTATATCAATGCTCAAATTTCTTAATTGTTATTGCCTAGGCTTCAATGATCAACCCCTGACACATTTTGGGTGTTTTGAAATCTTGGGTACACCCTTGAGCACATGTTGAGGAATAATTAGAAAAAATTGAGACCCGTTTGAATGAGGTAGATACATTGTTGGCCAGGGGTGAAGCCAGGTAAGACTGAGGGGTTCACCTGAACTCTCTTCGGCAAAAACTTACATTGTTTATACATGCTTAATATTATTTTTTATGTATATATGATAGATGTTAAACCTCCTTTGACTTCTTCATGTGTTTACTTATTCATATTTTGAACCCTCTAAGTGAAAATTTTGGCTCTACCACTGTTGTTGGCTAAGATCCTATCAGAACTCTTGAGATAGTTATGACTTGCAAAAATTTTAATTTATCAAGTCACAAAATTCATTTATCTTTTGTTTTGTTCTAAGCTCTCATGTGTTTAAAATTAATAATTTTTGTAACTTGCACTACAAGAAAAGTATGAATTACATGGGGATTTTCCTGGAGATTAGTATGAAAATCCGTAGGAAACTTATTTTTCTGCAAATTTTCATACTAATCCCCAGGAAAATCCCTATATAATTCACACTTTTCTTGTAGTGTTGTAAATCTTTTCAGTTACTAATGATATCTCAATTTTTCAAATGAACTCTCTCCTTAAGGACTAAAATAGTTATTATCCCTTCTTTGTTTTATAATAATTTAACAATGGAAAAAACTTTTTAAAAAGAGTTTAATTGTCTTTAACTTGCCCTCATAATAAGTTATGAACTCATAGGCTAATTTCTTTTGTGATCACACAATCAACATGATGTTGTAGGTGAAATGATAACTGTTGATTGATTTTTTTACTATAAACTAGAGTTGAACAACTTTTCAAAATAATTATCATTAGTTGAGTGACCTTAATGTTACAAAACAGAGTTGAATGACTTTTCTATTATAAAATAAAATTGAGTAACTTTTTGAGAAAATTATCATTAGTTGAGTGACCTTTGTCTTACAAAATAAATTTCAGTGAGTTTGTGAGATAAAAAATTATTACTTGAGAGATCCTACCAAAAATTAACTCTATATTATATAAATAGATACTAGGGCTCAAATTAGGGGGGAAAAGTTTATCAAAATTGAGATGTATACTAATACTCAAGATTGTAAGAGTACCTCCCCTGCCATGGCTGCCACCGGAGCTTCGACCGTAGAATGGCCAACAAGATGTAAATTCCTTTTTCCGATTGTAACCTCTACTTGTTTTTTTGTTTTCTTTTTTCAATGATTATACACTACTACTACTACTTCATATTCGTAGAATTGCAGGGGATCTCCCATTGGGAGTCTCAGGTTTGAAATCTTCTTATATGCTTTCTCATTAGGGATTGTCTAGTATGGTTTATCTCTCCTATATGGTTTGTGGGCTAGTTTTACTCTGTGAACCCTAAGAAGAGTAGTGATTGTGGGTTCCCTTGTCATAAATAAACAAGAAAAGGAAATGATGATAGGTAGAGGGTGGACCCATTATTTGATGAGTTTCTAACTTTGCGCCATTGACCTCAGGGATTTCTTGGCTATAAAAAGGGTAAAAAATAGTGAACAACAACAATGACACATATGCTTTTATTTTATTGGACCACTATCAATTCTTTATTCATCGAAAGAGTACAACAACATACTTAGTGGTCATTTCGTTGGGAGGGATAAGTTATCTCACATGTATATGGGATAACTTATCCCATCACTATAGTATGGTGGGATAAATAATCTCATGACTACCTAATACCTCCAACCAAATGCAGGATAAAATAATCCTACATTTTATCTAGGATTATCATACTCTATACCTCTCACCAAATGACTCCTTAGTGTAATCCTACTAGTGGTGTCTGGGGAGGGGCGTAGCCACATACAATGAGAGGTAGCTAGTTACCCTATGTTGAAGAATTATACTGCAGATGTAAAAAATTATACGAAGTATATAAGTTACAAATTATTTTTCGGGCGGATATGTTAATTTTCGGCACCGAGGGTAGGATGTATGCCGTCCTTACCCTACCTTTGTGGGGTTGATAAACCCTTGGCTAAAAAAATGGTATAGATTTGTTAAATTAATTGTAATTACAATATTATCCAACATAGAGTGCACTTATGAATGGTAATCAAAAAATTTATGTTGGAGGGAGTTAAACTGTTTTAGTTAAGTACATTTCAAGGGAAGTTAAAATGTATTAACATACCTGAAATATTAAACACTCCCAAAATTTGCCTGTAATTTTGATGATGGAAGCAATCAAGTTCTTTAATATTTGTGCTATACTTAATTTTGTTTTGTTTGTAGCACCATTAGATTCTACAGTTCAAACGGGAAATGCAAATGGAGGTGACTGGCAGGAAAAGGTTTACGAAAAGGTATTGTTTGCAATAGTATTTTTTTCTACACAAGATTTTGAAAACTGTGGATATTGATACACTGGCTGGTTATAACATTATAAGAAATAGCTGAATATTTTGACATATTTCCTATGATTATAGAGTAACAAAGGAGGTTTATCATACCAAGTGTTTAGTTAAATTCATGATCGTACCCCTCCCCGCAAGGTGTTAGAAACTGGTATACTGTCAGTTGAAGAGTACTACTGCAGCTACATCTCAATCCCAAGCAAGTTGAGGTTGCCTATATGAATCCTCATTGTAGATGATACCTTATTTAAGCTTGTCTTGGTTCAATATTGTCAACAACAAAAAAATAGTTTCAGAAGCAATGGAATAATTGAGAAGTGAAGTATTATTTGATAATTAACTGATAATGGAAAAATAGTTGATGAATGTTGTGATCGTATTATCTAATATTTAATGAGGTAATATGTATATAAGTTCGTGTCATAGTCTTCATGGCATGTTACCAACTTGCTTTATTTCCTGGCAACTAAAATCTTTAATTGCTACTTTGAGAGATAAACCTATTGGTGCAAGAAGTATATACCCGAATATATGGCTATAAAAAGATGCTCTCTGTGAAAAGATATTTGTTCATCTGTATTCGTTGGCATACTTTTTCTGTTCTTTAATTTTATTTTATTTTATAATAGAGAATTCAATGCCTCTATCTTCGAAACTTGGTGGGTAACAGGTCTGTCCCTCTATCCTTCTCTACTTACATCCCCGACTTGGCTTACTAGCTAGGTGGTAAAAGTTGGAATACTTTGACTTCACTAAGAATAAACATATAACACTAACATGCTCTGTAGACTCCATTCCGTCGTTTTTCACTTGTGAAGCCAACTACTTAGTTATTATTTCATTGATGGTAAAGGTGAAAAGTGGGGGGAAAATGATGATTGGCATTAAACTGTATTATATCTCCCAACCTAACTTTTAAAAAGTATAGTCTAATTACAAAAGTTTGTATTCTTGATGTGAGCACCAAGAAGCTAAAGGAAGCAAAGCTCAGTTACTTAATTTAATAACATTTACATGTTAATCAGTTGTAGTATTCCTCTTCTACTTCACTTTAAACCTTTTTATCTGGAAGGTTCTTTTGTGAGAATTTTATAGTTTGTTCTCTACTGCATCGTAAGTTGATCTAATTATCACCTTACCACATGGGAATGTGTTCTTGACATTTCTGCAGTTGACTTAATGAAAATTTGTAATGCAGATCAAGTCTATGAAGGAAATGTATGTTCAAAAGCTCTATCGTCTATACCAGAAAATTGCTTATGAACTGCAACTGGTATGCCGTCACTATCCCTCTTAAGTGCTTCATAATAGTGCAAAATTTTGGTAGACTCCCTAGCAAGTTTTGTCAGCATGCACCAATGTGTAATGCATTTTGTAGTCTATTGGTTATTGGAAACTCCTCTAATCTCTTTGCATGTTTCTCACACCTATTATAGCTCCTTCTTACATATATTCTCTGGCATTTATATTTGATAAAAACAACTTGATTTGCCGAACGTAATCCTAGAATATTATCTAACTGGGAAATGATGCAGATAGCTCAAAACTCTAAATGCACATTTTTGCTTCTTTGGTTGATTTTCTGTTATCGTGAGAAACAGTATTCTCATAGTGGGAATATGTTATAGTGTAGTTAACTCCCTTTCATTTCTAGCATCAGCATCATTTGTTTGTGTTGAAGCATTGTGAATGATTGTGAAATCGAGGTGGTGGTGGACACCATAAAGGGAGTTATTTACACATATCTAGGTAGACATTGCAGTGTAGATGTCATTTTATGTTAGTTTGTTTTCCTTTTGGCAAAGGAATCAAGGCTTCCCAAGCTCATCGGGCAAGGGCTTGATTTATCTGAATTTAAAGAGCACTTGAGTCAACATTCTGCTGAATTTCGGGAACCTTGCGAGCTATGTTATTTGTCTTTTTATGCCATTTCTTGAATTTTCCTCCATTTTTCTTTGCCGTGGGAGGTACTTGAAGCATGTATTTCAAAAGTTTGCAAAGGGTAAGAAACAGGACTGTGACTAAACTGATTTTTGTTTCCGATTTGATGCAGGACTCTCTTCATCAGCGTCGTACAAATGAGCAAATTGAAAAGCTCAAGCTGTACAAGATAGCATTGGAACGCATTTTGTGTTTCTTGGGGCTTAGCAAGCATGATATTCAACCTGCTCACAAGGAGAAACTGCTTTCGGTTGAGAAGCTCATAAATTTCTTTTTTAGTCCCTCTCAGCAGCGAAAGCCTACTTCTTCTCCAGTGCAGGAGCGACTTCCTCAGTCTTCCATGCTGCTTCAGCAACCACAATCACTTGATGGTCAAACTAATCCATCGATGCAACCCGTACACGGCCCGTGGAAGGTAATGTGACAAAACAATTTGACCAACTTGCAACATATTTGTTTGGATAATTCACTACTACTTCTACTTCATATTCGTAGAATTGCAGGGGGATTTCCCATTGGGGGTCTCGGGTTTAAGATGTTCATGTATGCTTTCTCAATTGGGCTCGTCGCACAAGGATTGTTTAGTGAGGGTTTACCTCTCCTATGTGGTTTGTTGACGAGGTTTACTTTGTGTGAACCCTAAGGCTAGCGAATGCGGATTCCCTGGTCATCAAAAAGGTTTAAAAAATGATGAAGCCCACAAGGTCTTGGTCTAGTGGTAAGAGTGAATTTGTGACGTATGGGTTAGAGGGGTGTCACCGGTTCAAACCTGTTATAGTCTAAAACCGTTATTTAAGTGAGTGGAGAAGGGTAGAGCGTGGACCCATTATCAGTCGATTTTCTAACTCTGCCATTCGCCTCGGGGGTTTTCGGCTATAAAAAAGGGTAAAAAATAATGAACAACAACATACTTGGTATAATCATACTGGTGGGGTTTGGGGAGGGAAATATGTTTGCATACCTTACCCTACCTTTGTGGGGGTAGATAGACCGCTCAAAAGAAGTGTATTAATTCGTAAAATTAATTGTAATTACAATATTATCCAAACACAAAGTGAACTTATGAGTGGCAATCAAAATTTTGTGTTGGAGGTTTGTACTTTTTAATAGTATAGATTAAAAGATTGAAATATTAATATATAACCAAATACCCAATCAATACCCTAGTGTAAAGTGGGAAACTTAGCTTTCTTAGACAAGTACATTTGGCGGGAAGTTAAAATGTATTAATATACCTGAAATGTCTAGCACTACCCCAAAATTTGCCTGAAATTTTTATGATGCAAGCAACCAACTTCTGTAATATTTGTGTTATGCTCAATTTTTGTTTTATTTGTAGCACTTTTCGATTCTACAATTCCGACGGGAAATGCAAATGGGGTTGATTGGCACTTGGCAGGAAGAGGTTTACCAGAAGGTATGTTCGTAACGGTATTTTAGTTGGACAAGATTTTGGAAACTGTGGAATTACATAAACTGGCTGTTTATAACATTATAAGAAATAGTTGTATGTTTTGAAATATTTCCTATGATTATAGAGTAATAGAAGAGGTTTACCATACCAACTGTTCAGCTAAATTCATGGTCGTACCCCTCCCCCGCAAGGTGCTTTATATATTCCATGTTTTAGAAAAAACAGAAATTGAGCATGTTACCTGATAACTTGTTAGAAACTGGTATATTCTCAATTTAGAAGCACTACTACAACTACAATCCTAAGCAAGTTGAGGTCGATTATATGAATCCTCACCGTCAATGATGCACTGTTTGTGCTTGTCTTCATCCAATATTGTTAACGACAAAAAATTAGTTTCACAAGCACTGGCATAATTGAGAAGTCAAGTACTCTTTGATAAATTAATTGATTATAGAAAACTAGTTGTTGAATACTAAGATCATATCGTCTTAATTCAAGAGGTAATATGTCAATAAGTTTGGATCAAAGTCGTCTTAGTATGTCACCAATTTGTGTTACTAGCTAGGAATAAGTTGGAATACTTTGATTTCTCCAAGAATGAACATGTAACACTAACATGCTTTGTATACTCCATTCCTGTCATTTTTCACTTGTGAAGGGTGTAAAGTTCAAAAAATTTAGAAAATGATGATTTCCATTAAACCATATTATATTCTCCAAATCCAATGTTACTGTTAGAATAGGAATAGGTTTATACAATCCTATTAGAATAGGAATAGAAATAGAAATAGGAATAGTAAATAGTATCCTACTTGGTAAAGGATTGTATTCTAGTATCTATAAATAGGGTCTCAATGTAATAATGTAAACAACAACAATTTAATAATATTCTTTTCTTATATTTCTCACATGGTATCAGATCCTCTAAGATCTTAGTAGAAAATCAATGAGCTTCCGCTGCCGGCGGGTGGCACCCATATATGCCGCCCGTCTGACCAATGATTATGTTAGCAAAAGTTGGTCACCGTATATCTTTCTGGTGACTATTTTCTCATATCTAATTTGTGTAGCACCGTGCCATCATTCCGGTGACTACTTTCTTATATTTTATTTGTGTAGCACTGTGCCATCATTCCAGTGACTACTTTTTCATATATAATTTGTGTAGCACTGTGACATTCTTCCGGTGACTTACCTTTTTTTGCATATCTGTTTTGTGTAACACCGTGCATCTCTCCCGGACTACTTTTCATATTTAATTTGTGTAGTACCGTGGATTTTTTTCCGACCTATTTTCTCAGAGTTGCATAGCATCATGTGTCTTTTCAGTGACTCCTCAGATTTGATTTGCATAGTTCCATTCGTCTTTTCGGTGACTCCTCAAATCTAATTTGCGTAGGGTTGTGCCATCATTTCAACCCTATTCGTATAATTTTTCTTTTTCAGTTGGGTCGTGCCATCATTTCGACCCTACCCCTATTATTTCTCTTTTCTATGGGATCGTTCCATCAATTCGAACTATCCTATCCATATAATTTATTTTTAAATTGTGACCTCTTTCAGTCATCAAATCTAATACTGCGGCGTATGAGCATTTTTCGGCCAATTTTTTCGGTGACTTTCTTGTTTAATATTGACTCGTCTATTGATTCCAACATGATCGATACATTTTATACTAGATTTTGAGCACTTCCGGCGACCGTTGCATTGTGAAGAAGTCTATATGGAGCAACTACCTGATTATGTTACTCAAGGAGAGTTTAGTAGTCTTGTATGTCAATTGTGTTAGTCACTCTATGGTCTAAAACAGTCTTTGCAAGTTTGGTTTAGGAAGTTCAAACCTGTAATTATATCACTCTGTGTTTTATCGGCATTATGCATCAAATTCAGTATCTCATGAGAAGACCAAGCACATTGAGATTGATTGTCAATTTTGTGAAGTCGAGTGATCAACTTGCAAATATCTCACCAAGCCCCTCATCGGTCCTCATGTTAATTACATTTGTAACAAGCTAGGTACATGAATTGTATGCACTAGCTTGAGGGGGAGTGTTAGAATAGGAATAGGTTTATACAATCCTATTAGAATAGGAATAGTAAATAGTATCCTACTTGGTAAAGGATTGTATTCTAGTGTCTATAAATAGGGTCTCAATGTAATAATGTAAACAACAACAATTTAATAATATTCTTTTCTTATATTTCTCACAAAGTGGTATGGGGACCACTTTCTGAGGTATCTCCGCTTCTTTCTCTGTTGCATTCTCAGACTCTTCTCTAACCTCTATCACATCATCTTCTTTTCTAATCTCAACTTCCACCATAGACGGCCTAGGTGGATCTATGGTTTGCTTACCCCCTCGAGTAGTAATTGCCATACAAAGCATGTTGTAACACTAACATGCTTTGTATACTCCATTCCTGTCATTTTTCACTTGTGAAGGGTGTAAAGTTCAAAAAATTTAGAAAATGATGATTTCCATTAAACCGTATTATATTCTCCAAATCCAACGTTACAAAAGTATATTCTAATTCCTCCTGGTTGGCTGGTCTATGATCACATTATGGAAGCAAACCTCAGTCGCTTATTTTACCATCTACATGTTAATCAGTTGTAGTCTTCCTCTTTAACTTTACTTTTAACCTTCTTATCTGGAAGGTTCTTTTGTGAGGATCTCTAGTTTGTTCTCTACTGTATCGTAAGTTGATCTAATTATCACCTAACCACATGGGAATGTGTTCTTGACATTTCTGCAGTTGACTTAATGAAAATTTGTAATGCAGATCAAGTCTATGAAGGAAATGTATTATTCAAAGCTCTATCATCTATACCAGAAAATTGCTTATGAACTGCAACAGGTATGTCATCAACATCCCTCTAAGTGCTTATTAATAGTTCAAAATTTTGGTAGACTCCTAGCAAGTTTTGTCAACATGCACCAAGGTGTAATGCATAATGTAGTCTATTGGTTACTGGAAACTCCTCTTATCTCTTTGCAGGTTTCTCACACCTATAGGCTATTATAGCTCCTTCTTACATATATTCTCTGGCATTTATATTTGATAAAAACAACTTGATTTACCGAACGTAATCCTAGAATATTGTCAGACTGGGAAATGATGCAGAAAGCTCAAAACTCTAAATTCACATTTTTGCTTCTTTGGTTGATTTTCTGTTATCGTGAGAAACAGTTCTCGCATAGTGGGAATATGTTGTAGTGTAGTTAACTCCTTTTCATTTCTAGCATCTGTATCATTTGTTTGTGTTGAAACATTGTTTTTGATTGTGAAGTCGAGGTGGAAGCCATAAAAGGAGTTATTTTCACATATCTAGGTGGACACTGCAGTGTAGATGTCATTTTTATGTTAGTTTGTTTTCCTTTTGGGGAAGGAATTAAGGCCTCCCAAGTTCATTGGGTAAGGGCTTGATTTATCTGAATTTAAAGAGCACTTGAGTCAACATTCTGCTGAATTTCGGGAACCTTGCGAGCTGTGTTGTTTATCTCTTTATGCCATTTCTTGAATTTTTCTTCCTTTTTCTTTGCCGTGGGAGGTACTTGAAGCATGTAATTCAAAAGATTGCAGAGGGAAAGAAACAGGACTGTCACTAAACTGATTTTTTTTACTGATTTCAAGCAGAACTCTCTTCATCAGTGTCGTACAAATGAGCAAATTGAAAAGCTCAAGATGTGCAAGATAACGTTGGAACGCATTATGCTTTACTTGCAGCTTAACAAGCATTATATTCAACTTGCTCACAAGGAGAAACTGCTTTCGGTTGAGAAGCACATAAATTTCTTTCTTAGTCCCTATCAGCCACCAAAGCCTACTTCTTCTCCAGTGCAGGAGCAACTTCCTCAGTCTTACATGCAGCTTCAGCTACCACAATCACTTGATGGTCAAACTAATCCATCGATGCAACCCGTACAGGCAAACCTCGGTACCCTACAGCAAAATTCAAACGCCCTGCAACAGTCATTTCCTAAGAAGTGCAAGCAGCAAACTGTTGCAGAACCAGCAATTAAGAGAGCAGTCCCACCATCGGCAGATGCAGCAGCAACTTTTTAAAAGACAGAAGTTAATGCAACAGCAGCAAGCGAAGCAACAGTAGACCATGCTATTGCCAACCCACCAGATGTCACAGCTTCAACAGTCTTCGATCCAGCTTCAGCAACCACAATCCCTTGATGGTCGAAACTAATCCACAGATGCAACAAAACAATATTATTGACTTGCAACATGATTGTTTGGATAATTCAATTGCTTATAACTCGTGCACTTGTTAACTCATGCACCCTTCCCTAGATTATGTGAAGTATTGCAATTATTATGATAAATTACTTAAATTTCATGTGAGAATTCAGGATAAAATTTGAAATATCCATCTCCATATTTTTCTCTGTTTGGATGTTTAGCAACACTTGCAAGCAAAGGTCACAATTTTTCTCAAAAATTTTACGGTCTCTTTTTTCCTTCAATTTATTTCTTTGATTGGTATGTTTCCTTCAATAATGATACTATTTTAATTGGTTTTCAAATATAAAAGTTCATTATACTATTTTGATGATAATATTAACTATAGTTTACTTGTCAATTTGTTGTCTTAGCAAAGTTTTATAGCATTAAACCTAACAATGGTATAGTGTATTCATCATTTTGAAATCTTGGATACACCTCTAAGCACAAAAAAACGAACTATGAATAAAACATTTGATTGATATTCTTTTTTTTTTTTCGTTTCAGAACTCTTGAGATAGATAAGACTAGCAAAATTTGTAACCTACTAGTCTCTGGGAACGTGTGTTGCATGTTTGTTTTGTACGAATATACATTTAAGTTACAAATCATAAATGAATTGATTTTCATATTGAATAGGAGATGATTTATGAAGTAACTATATAGTAAGGATGATGATTTTTAAAAAGAAACATATATATATGATGTGATTAAATATATGTTTCTATGTACAAATGAAATATGTATCTTTATAAGATTATAATCTCGTTTTTATAATTACATATAAGAAGTTGTAGTGGGGAATGAAATTTACTTTTTATTCAAGTATTATAGAGATTCGAACAACATATGTCTTCTTATGATGGATAGTAAATCATTATGAATTTTATGGAATATATCTACAAAGAAATATATAACAGTATCATGGTTAGTTCAATCATAATAAAATCACTTTATAAGCAAATAAGAAGGACAATCTCAAATTCATGTTCCATATTACATAAAGCTTGCTAAAAAAATAGTAAATGCTAAAACTTCTTTTTCTCAACAAAATACCTAAAGCAACAAGTTTTAAAATTTCATAGAAAAAGAAAATTTTAGTTACACAATATAACGAAGATACAAAATGCATCAATAATATTTAATATTCCGTCTTTTCTTCTTTTTACTTCACACCCCAACCCTAGGTGAGGCGGACAAGTACCATACGAACACATGCTTTACAAGCGACGTATGATGAGAAAGTAAACGTCTATGCAGATAGATATACTGATGAGAAGCTTCATATACAACACATGTTGACTAGCTGAACCGATACATGTGACAAGTGAAACTATGAATATAGATGATAGCTTTACAATGTCTACAAAACCTCTACTAGAATCCATGACTGTACCACCGAAAATATGCATAGTAAAGACTCGGCAAAGCCCCGAATCAACCTGGAGCTCACCAACAACCGTTGAGTATCATGTGCTTCTATTGGGGAGATCTACTAGTTGAGTACTTGTACCTGCAGCATGAAATGAAGTGTTCCCAATAAGGGACGTCAGTACGAAAGAATCTACTGAATATGTAAGGCATAATACAACCATATGTAAAATGAGAGCTCAAGTGAAACCAAATACCAATAGATAAGGATTAGAGACCACCTTTGCTTATACTGGTGGAATCGTGTATGTTACATTCTTTTCTTTACTTTTCTGTGCATTATAATATTTATAAGATGTATGACACAAATGACCAATTGATCATTGGTAGAAGAGGATGACCCATTCTAGGCATTTTAACCCATGGGATGTTGTCCTCATAATTCCACAAATTAGGATCGGCCCATGCTAGGCTTTCGCCCCTGAGCTGCTACCTTTCCATACCAATTGGGATCGGCCCATGCTAGACTTTTGCCCCTGAGCTATCACCCTTCTATACCAATTGGGATCGACCCATGCTAGGCATTTGCCCCTGGGCAGCCGCCCATAATTATACAGATAGCTTCACTTAAATTCTTTATCTTTGAGATTGTTGTTTTGATGTTCATAACTCTTTTGAGATTGTTCTTTTGATAATCATAACTCTTTTGAGATTGTTGTTTTGGTGGTCATAATCATTGTTGAGAGTTGGAACTACGAACCACTAGTAGAAGACATGTGAATATGGACGTACGATAATAACAATGACATGGGAAGCAAATATGATACCAACGTAATATTTAGGAGCTTATATGACTCAGTAAGCATTTTGACATCTCAAATTAAAGCACATATCAAGTGAAGACATTTAACTTTCAGCCAAGAAATTTGAACTCTATATGGTAGCCAAATACTCACTAACTCAAATACAAGGTATACATGAAAGTGGAACCAAGGGAGAACGTAGGCAGATTCAACTCAAGGACAAATACATATTCCAAGTAAGTACATATAAAATGTACAATAGAGCAAGTAGGGATCTTGTGAGGTAACATTATAGTCTAACACAATGGGAGTAATAACCAATAAAGGGAACATATGAACATGTGACAAGATGACATATATATAGACAATTGAAGCAAGTTGGCATGATATGGGCAGATTGTATATCCAACATATAAACATATGTACCATGTGTAATCTAGGATCATTTTGATTTATATAAGGGAAATACATGCCAATGGTACTTTGACGATGAAACAAGTTTAAACCTTGCATGCTAATACTTGGTAGTGTAAGCACATACATTTAGTAACAAACTCGTATTAGAGTGCTCAAACAAGCTCATAACTGAATTTAAAGAGGACTCCCCTCCATGGCTGTCCCAACATGCACTAATCACCAGAATATCCTCCCCAATATTACACCATGTAAAAGGAACAAATTCCAACTCACTAACACATACCAAATGTCCTAATTAACTCAAGAACAAGAGAGAGAAAATTGCAGTAGCTTACCTTGCTGGACAGAACTACCACTTGCTAAGACTTGGATTCTTCAAGGTAAATGTTGTCCTCCTTAAACTTGTCTTAAAATTATACCTTTCCAAATAGGATTGAAACTCCCTAATATTCAAGAACCCTAATGGTATTTAATGGCTGTTTTATGAAGCTAAGCGAAAGAAGAGAGAAAGCTCTTGAAATCAGATTTTTTTGTCAAAGTAAAAATGGTTGGAAAAAGCTGATATCAATCCCTTTTAAAAGTACCTGCTTTGGTCGACTTCCTCACTCATTTTGGGCCATAATTTGTCAAGTAGGTTATCCACCTACTTGGACTTTTCACTTGGGCCTTGGCTGTCCATTTTCCCCTTATTCTTCTAATCAACTTGGGCCAGATTAATGAAAGTAGGTGGTAGTGTACTTGGCCCAATAACATGGTCAAAAGAGTTTTAGTAGGTGATGCACCTACTTAATCCTTTAGGCTGGTCAATAAGTCAAAGTAGTTGATGTACCTACTTGGTCCTTTGGGCTGGTCAATGAGTCAAAGTAGGTGATGCACCTACTTGGTCCTTTGGGCTGGTCAATAAGTCAAAATAGGTGATGCACCTACTTGTCACCTACTAGCTTAGTTAAGTCAAGCAAGCACCTCAATATTTTATTCCATTTATAGACCTTAATACCTTTAACTTAACTCAAAACGTTTATACACTATGTCACTTTAAACTTTAGACTCAAATACCACCTTATGATCTCAAGTTTAACTACTTCCATCGACATCAACTTAATCGGGTCGCATCAAAATCTACGGACAGTTTGCTTTAAACCTATTATATTGTCACTAGTCGCATAGGAAACCGAGTCCATAACTATTCCACAAGGCACATTATAAGCGTCATGCAAATAGAACTAGTACACGTAGAATACAGGGTGTTACAATTTTCTTCAATTCTTCCTCTTCCGAATTGAGCGTATATAGTCACAAATCACATATGAATTGATTTTCATTTCATATATAAATAAGAGATGGTTTGTGAAGTAACTATAGTAAGAATAATCATTTTTAAAAAGGAACATCACATTCACAAATTATCAATTATTCAATTACTATTGTCCTACGCAACCCAACTTGTTGTAAAGAATAAAAATCTTAAATCTCTTTAAAAAAAAATACATCACATGCATGTAGATGAATGTCATCTTATACACAGAATTGCTCTTTCTTTTATACAATCGATTACCCAAGAAAGAATCGGTACATCGATTTGTGTACCGTCCTTCAATTGTAAATAAATAAATAAAAATTAAACAAAAAGTTATAATATTACATGTTGACTTGTTTTTTATGTGTTGGGAAAAATACTACTGTAACACCCCGTATTCGAAAAAGACCAAAAATACAGATTTCGAGAAGTTGTAGGTGCAACTTACGATCACCATCCACGGACAGTAGGTCAGACCACGGCCCGTGCTGGTGGTCCGTGGTTCACCACTGCAACCC